CTTAAAATAACAAATGGGATATTATAAAGCTGTTAATTATGATCACATTACAAATGACTAAATTTTGATCCCTGAAAACTTTGGTAATACCAATGTTCACTTTGTCTGGTTTTGTTGCAGCATGCCCCATGTGATAATCGATCAACCCGTGATATATTATCACAAAATTAATATTAAAGATTTTAGTATTAGTATTGGGTATATTTATATATATCCGATATTTTTTTTTTATCAATAAAATCAAAAATTGAATTTTCGCAAAAAGTTTAAAAAAAAAAAAGGTTTCATCCTGTTTAATTTCCAGAGAATTTGTGTCGCAAATCTTTTTGTATGAATGACCAGTGAGTTGCAAATAAATAATAACAATAAATAAAAAAAATAAAAAATAAAAAATATTAGTGTGTATATATGTAAGATTTTTAAATAACAACGAACATACCTTTTCCCTCCTTATTAAATTAAAAATAAAAAAAAAAATCAAATCTTTTACTATTATTAACTATAATAAAAAACTTTTAGGAAAATTATTTATTTTGTAACACTTTTCTGCTATTTTTTTATTGTAAAATTTCTTTTTTTATAATTTGTACAGTATTACCTTTTAATAATCCTTTCTCAGGAGTTTTGGTTTTTTTTTCTTTTCTTTTAATAAAAAAAAAAAAGGATAAGTCAATCAATATTCAATCAAATTAAAGACTCGTTTATCTATTTTTTGTCTTTTTTTTTTGTTAGCATATATATTTTTTTTGTAAAAGTGAACAAAATATAAGAAATTATGGGTGGGCAACTTACTAAAGAACAATCAGATTTACCATTTGGTTATCTTTCACCAAAAGATCTTGAGAATGAAAAAATACAAAACCTCCTTAAAAGTCGTAATAATGTTAAAAATATGAAAAGACTGATAACAAATGCTTCAAATACCGAGGAAGATAACAATATAATGGAGTATTCTTTAAACAACAATAATGAAAATGAAAATGACAATAACAACAATAACAACAATCACGATAACATCAACAATGATATCAATGATGATAATAATGATAATATCAATCATTATTTTTTTCAACATCGTAATGAAATAGTTCCTTCTTCTGACGATGAAGATGAAGAAGATGATGATAAAATGTCTAATGATGATGACTATAACTACGGTGATGATAAACTCCATACTAGTGATGATGATGACGATGATGAGGAGATACTAAAGGGTGAATTAATACCGATTACATTCAAAGATATACCCGATTTAAGAGATATTGAGTATTGTGGATTTGGAATTGTTAAATTAAGTCCAAACATTGGTTATTTATATATTACAACGCATTTACAAATGTAAGCAATGTTAATTACTACCACTACTAATAGTAGTAATAATTTGTCTATTGTTTGTCTCTAAATTACTCGATTTTTTTTTATATTCAGTTGTTGTGATAATCTGAAAGAAATACCATCCGAAATAGGAAATATGAAAAATTTAACGTCTCTTGATCTGTCGAGAAATAAATTAAAATATTTACCAGATTCGATAGGTTCGTTAGATAAATTAATTAAATTAAGATTATCTTCAAACAAATTAAAATATCTGCCGGCATCAATCAGGAATTTGATAAAATTAACAGCATTATTGATTGATAGTAATAAAATAGAAGAACTTCCTCAAGAAATAGGACAATTAACCAATCTAATAACTTTTGATGTTAGGAATAATCCAATCACAGTATTTCCAGCTGAATTAGGGAGATTAAAATATTTAAGGACATTATTAGTCGAAGGATGTCCTTTGAAAACTGAATTCGTTCATGAAATAGATCATTCACCACCAACTTTGATGGAGTTAGCGGCTCGTAAAATAATAAAATTCAACTTGTTAAATAATTTAGAAGGATCGAATGATCCAATAAGGATCTCTAGTAATTTGGAAAATTATTTAAAAAATTATAAAAAATGTAGTTATTGTGGTGGACCTTATTTTAGTCATCATGTCAAGAGAGGAAAAATCATTGAAAAAAATGATAATAGTATACCATTAGAATATAAATTATGTTTTCCACATTGGAATAATGAACAGGAACGAATCAATTTATTATTCTGTAGTATTAAAGATCACGATGATAATAATTTCATTGTTAGTGATGATAATATTTTTGAAGAAGATAATAACCATAACAATAACAATGGCAATAACAATAACAATAACAATAACAATAACAATAACAATAACAATAACAATAACAATAACAATGTTACCAAGAAGTCGAATAATTCATATAGTAATAATAGACCGTTGTCTTCAACATCAACTCGTAGTCCTTCAAGAGTATCGAAAAGAAACAGTTCAACCTCAATGATATTAGGAAAATCTATAAAGTTAAATTCAAAATTAAGGAAAATAAGCAATAGATTGCGTAATAATACAGCTTAATTAATTTTTAATTTTTATATTCCTTTCTAATAAAATTTTTTTTTGTATATATATATATAATACCTATATTAATTAATAATTTATTCCATTTTTTAAATTTTTCATTTTTTTATCAAAAAAAAAAAAAATTTTTTTAATAAATAATAAATAATATAATTATATAATAGTAATTGGCAAGTAAGGAAGCATTCATTTATCAAAGCTTTGGTGAAATTCGTGTAACTAGTCCAAATTTATCAAAAGTTATTCCCACAAACAGATGATCTGAATTAGCGCGAATAAATATTTATAAATACTTTGTTGTCACTCTGAAAAAAAGAAATTAAATTAATAAATGCCTTTGGAAGATAAACTTGGCAGTTATATCGGCTACTGCAAGAATATATTGAATCTAATTCTAAACACCGACTTGAAATTAAAGATTTAAATTTTTTTTAAAAAAAGTTTTGTGATTGTGGTGATATTGGAACTGGTACAATGATAATAATAAAATCAAATGCGTGCCTAACAAAGGCTTGCTGTATGGAGCGACATTATTAGAGCTTGAAGAAGAAGAAAAATTAGGGATTAAAGTTGATTTGCTTTGTTATTATCAGAAAAAAAGCAAAATTTTAGAAAAGTTAAAAAGCACAACAAATACTAATATGGGGCATGCTGCAACAAAACCAGACAAAGTGAACATTAGTGTTATTAGTCGCGGGACATTGCAGATCAAGTGTCATTCAATATAAACGTTACACGAATAAAATTATTATCGTCCACT